CTCCCTCCCACACACTCTCCCTCCCACACACTCTCCCCCCACACACTCTCTCCCTCCCACACACTCTCCTCCCTCCCCACACACTCTCCCTCCCTCCCACACACTCCTCCCTCCCACACACTCTCCCTCCCACACACTCTCCCCCTCCCACACACTCTCCCTCCCACACACTCTCCCTCCCTCCCCCACACACTCTCCCTCCCACACACTCTCCTCCCTCCCACACACTCTCCTCCCTCCCACACACTCTCTCCCTCCCACACACTCTCCTCCCTCCCACACACTCTCCCTCCCACACACTCTCCCTCCCACACACTCCTCCCTCCCACACACTCTCCCTCCCACACACTCTCACTCCTCTCCCCCACACACTCTCCTCCCACACACTCTCCCTCCCACACACTCTCCCTCCCACACACTCTCCTCCCTCCCACACACTCTCCCTCCCACACACTCTCCTCCCTCCCACACACTCTCCCTCCCACACACTCCTCCCTCCCACACACTCTCCCTCCCACACACTCTCCCTCCCTCCCTCCCACACACTCTCCTCCTCTCCCTCCCACACACTCTCCTCCCTCCCACACACTCTCCCTCCCACCTCCCACACACTCTCCTCCCTCCCACACACTCTCCTCCCTCCCACACACTCTCCCTCCCACACCTTCCTCCCCACACTCTCCTCCCTCCCACACACTCTCCCTCCACACACACTCTCCCCCACACACCTCCCTCCCACACACTCTCCCTCCCACACACTCTCCTCCCTCCCACACACTCTCCTCCCCCCACACACTCTCCCTCCCACACACTCTCCCTCACACTCTCCCTCTCACTCACTCTCAGTAGTGGTAGCTGGACACTGTCGTACTCCCCCCCCCCCCCACTGACCCCGTTAATAAGACACGCACAAAAGTAGAGTGAGAGAGAAAGAGAGAGACAGAGAGAGAGAGAGAGACAGAGAGAGAGAGAGAGAGAGAGAGAGAGAGAGAGACAGAGAGAGACAGAGAGAGACAGAGAGAGAGAGACAGAGAGAGAGAGAGAGAGAGAGAGAGAGAGAGAGAGAGAGAGAGAGAGAGAGAGAGAGAGAGAGAGAGAGAGAGAGAGAGAGAGAGAGAGAGAGAGAGAGAGAGAGACAGAGAGACAGAGAGAGAGAGAGAGAGAGAGAGAGAGAGAGAGAGACAGAGAGACAGAGAGAGAGAGAGAGAGAGAGAGAGAGAGAGAGAGAGAGAGAGAGAGAGAGAGAGAGAGAGAGAGAGAGAGAGAGAGAGAGAGAGAGAGAGAGAGAGAGAGAGAGAGAGAGAGAGAGAGAGAGAGAGAGAGAGAGAGAGAGAGAGAGAGAGAGAGAGAGAGAGAGAGAGAGAGAGAGAGAGAGAGAGAGAGAGAGAGAGAGAGAGAGAGAGAGAGAGAGAGAGAGACAGAGAGAGAGAGAGAGAGAGAGAGAGACAGAGAGAGAGAGAGAGAGACAGAGAGAGAGAGAGAGAGAGAGAGACAGAGAGAGAGAGAGAGAGAGAGAGAGAGAGAGAGAGAGAGAGAGAGAGAGAGAGAGAGAGAGAGAGAGAGAGAGAGAGAGAGAGAGAGAGAGAGAGAGAGAGAGAGAGAGAGAGAGAGAGAGACAGAGAGAGAGAGAGAGAGAGAGAGAGAGAGAGAGAGAGAGAGAGAGAGAGAGAGAGAGAGAGAGAGAGAGAGAGAGACAGAGAGACAGAGTAGACAGAGAGAGAGAGAGAGAGAGACAGAGAGAGAGAGAGAGAGACAGAGAGAGAGACAGAGAGAGAGAGAGAGAGACAGAGAGACAGAGAGACAGAGAGAGAGAGAGAGAGAGAGAGAGAGAGAGAGAGACAGAGAGACAGAGAGAGAGAGAGAGAGAGAGAGAGAGAGAGACAGAGAGAGAGAGAGAGAGAGAGAGAGAGAGACAGAGAGAGAGAGACAGAGAGAGACAGAGAGAGAGAGAGAGAGAGAGAGAGCTCACCAGCACACATAAACACACAAGAGGTACAAAAGGAAGCCTCATCACCCAGGTAATATCATGTTGTTCCACCTAAAGCAACATAATAACAGTTGTATCCACCCAACATATTAATACATCACTTCCTGGTCGTGTGCCCAACCACACGGACCACAGGGTATCGAACGCCGACCCTGTAGGAAGTAGGGCCATCACATACCCACAAGTCCAGGTGGATGGTCTAAGGTATCTGAACATGTTTCCAATTCGAACACCCGTTTCCAACACGAAAAATACGTGTCCACTTAGAACACGTGAACGTCCATTTCCAATCGCAACCTGCAAATACCTATTTCCAGATGAATCATTGGAACACCGCTACCAATCAGAACACACAACAGACGATTGAACTGATTGGTAACCAGGTATGACGTCATCTGCCCGTATGACAATTCTATTTATATGAATTTGCAATTAAACCCGAAATGTTTCTGTTTGTCCAGAATATGGACGCAAGTGTTACTGACAGTAACGTTCAGGACGCAAGTGTTACAG